TGGAGGGTCATAGCAGGTCCCGAGGCGGGGGCGGGAGGAGCCCCAGCCGAGCGGCCCAGCTGGCCACGTGAGGACGAACGCCCTGGGTGGTCACGGCCACAGCTGGGCCGGGCCAGTGCTTTGTGGAGGGTCTGGCTATGGCTTTGACCCCGACCTCCCCAGGGCTGCCCCAGGGGGGCGCCAAGGCAGAGCCTTGGTCAAGGGACCGGGTGTGGGCCCTGAAGATATGACTCTTGAGAACTTGTCTCCAGTGAGGTTCCTTCTGAGGACTGGCTCTCTCCTCCTCTCCCTCCTTCCAGAGGTGTTCCCTCTTCCAGAAGGCCTCCCTGACCTCCAGGCGGGGTGAGGGCCTCCCTCGGGCTGACCTGGCTCCTGTCCCTAGCCCCTTCTGGACGCCAGGCTCACGATGAGGGAGAACCGTGTGCCCCCCTCCCCCGGCGCACGGCCGGGACCCTGGGCTGCAGGAGGAGTCACCAGGCGCCGCACGCCCTGGGCACCACGTCCATACCTGCGATCGAGCAGGGTGGGCTTCAAGCCTCCTGCCCCCTTGCCAGCTGGCACCAGTGCCTCCGTCTTCCCGTGGACCTGGAACTGCCTGGCTCGCCTCCGCGGAGTGTCACTGCATGGCGGGACTTCTGCTGGCACACTTACGGCAGGGCCGCCTCGCGTTTTCCTCCAGATCCCCACCAGGGCCCAGGCTTCACCAGGGCGGGGAAACCCCACCTCGCCTGGGGCTGAGCCAGGCCGGCCCTCAGGGTGGGGGACGGTGTTGCTTTTGAGTGGAGCCCTGGGGCGCCTGCAGCCTGCAAGCGTGGAAGGGCCCCGGGGCCAGGGTGGGGGGTGTCCGCCTCCTGGATGCTTCGCAACGGCCTTGGCTACTCGCGGCCGGCCCGGGTGTTGGGGGACGCACAGATGCCTCGTCAGCCGAGACTGAGCACAGTAATGAGGGCGGGAGGAGGCAGGTAGCTGTCAAGGGCACCGTAGGCCCCACTGTTAAGCTCCGATAATTATTTTCCTGCTGGGTGCGCGCAGACGAAACCGTTTGGGGCCTTATTAATCAGTTATGGATTATGCGGCGGCCACGGCGTGAGCTGGCCTGGCGCCGTGGCGGGTGAGGAACGCGGGGCTGGGTCCTGGCGCCCAGGCACCGACCACCTTTGTCCTTGTCCCCCCAGGACCCTTGCCTCTCCGCTCTGCTCCTCGACAAGCTGCCGGCGCCCGGGGCCCCGCCGACATGCCGCCCGGAGGCCGAGCGCCGCTGCGACGTCTGTGACACGCACCTGAACCAGCTCACGCGGGAGGCCCTGCGGCTGCTCCAGGCACCTGCCAGCCGCGAGGACCCTGACGCCCCGCACGGAGGCCCTGGCCTCGTGCCCCCCGGCCCGGGCACCGTAACCAGCCCGCGGGCTGTGCCAGTGGCCGGTGGCCCGGCCGGGAGGCAGCCGGGCCGAGTGGGGCCGGACAGGAGGCAGGGACTGGCCTGGCCGTCCGGGCCCAGCGTCCAGGTGTCGGTGGCACCTGCTGGCCTCGGGGGAGCACTGAGCACGGTCACCATCCAGGCCCAGCAGTGCCTGGAGGGCATGTGGAGCGTCTCGAGGGTCAACAGCTTCCTGCCACCGTCGTGCCTGGTGAGTCCCCTGGGCGGGGCGGGCTGCTGGCCTCTGAGGGGCCCTGCCCACATCCCACCGTGGCTCACGTTGTGCAGACTGAGCAGCACCCCCTTAAGCAAGGGGCCGTGAACACTGGGGGAGGCCCCCGGACATTCCCGAGGCCCCCGTCAAGTGTGCTGGCGACGTCACAGCGGGCAGGGTCCTCACGCGGCCCCGGGGACGTCGGTTCCACGCAGCGCCAGCATGCGTGGCCGGGCGTGGCGTCGGCCGCTCCTGCTTCTGAGAGCACCGGCTGGTGCGTGGGCTGACGGGAGGGCTCCTGGGACAGGGTCGGGCCCTCCTCCTCAGGGTCAGAGGCAGAGGGAGCATCTCGTGGGGAGGGGTCCGGCGGCCCCTCCCCTCCGGGCTGCCCCCGAGGCTGTGGACTGCGCGACAGGGCTTGGCGTTAGGGGGAGGGGCCTGCAGGCGGTGGCCGCGTTCTGTGCCCACTCCCCTGGTCTCTCGGGGGGCACATCTTTTCAGTCGGCGGCAGTGTCCCCTCCCCCAGGGCTCTCCTCTTCGGGCCCTCCTCGAGGTCCCCCACACCAGGGGGCGTGGCCTCCATGGAGCCAGCTCTGGGCACCAGCGGGCCCTGTGGGTGCCATGGACTTGGGCTGGGCGTCCTCAGGCAGAGCGCTGGGCCGGTGTCCCCCACGCAGGTGGAGAAGAGGCGAGCCTTGGAGGGCGGAGCCGGGACCGGCCGCATTCCCCCTGGCCACAGAGCTTGGCTGGGGGTGGTCTCTCCCAGGGGTCTGTGGCGCCCCTGGTTTTCCCTCAAGCAGAAAGTATACCAGGATAGGAGTCGCGATGTGAGGGTTGTTGGGTTAGGGGTCTCCTGGGACACTGGAGGGAGTCCGTTTGGGTTTGGGTGATGAATGAGGTTAACCGTGCTGTCCTGGGAAGGCCTTTCTCCAGAATGCGCCTGGCTGCTCTGCCCAAGCCTCGGGGCTGCCCTCTCCCGGGGCCTTGGGCCCTCAGCTGTGCCCGTCTGTTTCGCGGAGGACTGAGGCTAAGAGCCCGAGGGTAGGAGTTCGCCAGGCAAACACATAGGAAGGGCCTTCCAGGCAGAAGGAGCCTTCTGTGTCGAGGCCGAGGCCTGGAGGTGTGAAGCACGGAGGCCTCCCTGGAGGTGGAGGTGTGAAGCCTGGGGGCCTTATCAGGACAAAGGACTGCAGGGGGAAGGGAGCTGGGAGAGGGGCGGGGCTCTGGGCCAAGTACGTCCGACGCTGCTGCCTTGGTGATTGTGGGTATGTGGAGAAGCCCCCTTGTTGCCCCCCTCCCCCACCACTCACCCCCGGGGCAGAGAGATCAGGGGGTCGCTGTGGAAACTAGTTTTGTTGGTCCATTTTCCAGTGACTACAGAGCCAGCCGTGCGAGCCCGGCCAGTGAGCGTCTCTGAAATAGAGTGGTGGGTAGACCTGCCCCGTGGACTCTGCCTCGTGGGGCTGCAGGGCGTGGAGGTACAGGGAGGGTCCCCAGCTGCTGGGACAAAGTCACACATAATCCCAAAGCAGGACAGACCCCTGCCCGGTCCCCACTCCTGGGCTTGCCGTCCACTCTGTGTTTAGCGAGACAGTGCCTTTGATGACATCCTGCCCTCGCTGGGAGTTGGACCCCGTGACCACTGCTGGGGCCAGTCCTGGAGCGGCACTCTGCCCTTGGGGCCTCCCGGCCCTTGGCAGCTTGGGGGTGGGGTGTGCAGGGGCTCAGGGAAGCACTTGGGTCTCGAACTAGCCTCCAGCTGGTGTGATGACGGGTCCTGGGTGCGGCCTTGCCGCTTCTGACTTCTCCTCTATTAAGTCCCGGGGCGAGGCCAGGAAGGGGGAGGCCAGCCCCTGCCACGCATGCCTGGTACCTCCTGGCTGAGCACTGGGCCGCCTCGGGGGCAGCACTGAGTTGGGGAGGCAGCTCAGGAGAGCTGGGTGGCTGCCCGGAGGAAGTGAGGTTGAGCTGGGCCCAGAGGGAAGCGTCAGACGTGGCGGGCCCAGCTGTGGCGGGTCAGCGCGGGCCGCGGGGAATAGCCGGAGGGCTCCTGGGAAGG